TCCTAAAGGAACTTTAAATTTGGCATCATCATCTAATTCAAAAACTCCTAAAGGAACTTTAAATTTAGCATCATCATCTAATTCAAAAGTACATCAAGCTGGCATCACATCAAAAAATTTAATACAAGAGAGAAATCCTAAAGGAAGTTTAAATTTAGCATCATCATCTAATTCAAAAGTACATCAAGTTGACATCGCATCAAATACTTCTTTAATACAAGAGAGAAATCCTAAAGGAACTTTAAATTTGACATCATCATCTAATTCAAAAGTACATCAAATCGCAACCACATCAAAAACTTCTTTAATACAAGAGAGAACCCCTAAAAAATCAACAAAATTAATTAGTATGTATCGATGCGAAGAAATTGTTTGGAGTAATATAGAATATATATTGAGCTCAAGTCAATATGAGCCATTGTCTGACCAAGTCGGAGGCGATCATATAAAATACTGGCCAGCATTAGTTCATCAACGATTAAAAGAACCACATGATAATGGATTTGAAATTTTATATTCCTTAAAGCCATTAATGTTGCCTGGAATAATGAAACTATCATACAAATCCATCCTACCGTGGCTAGCCTATGATGCTTCAAATTCAATACAAACGGTTGAAAAGGCAATATATAGTGATAGTCAAATTCATTTGTTAAGGAATACAAAACGTGGTGAACTAGCCAGTGCTTACCTTAAAGCTATTAAACGGGCAAAAGAGGTTGCTTCAACATTCACCACATCACACCAATATAAGTATACTATACCATCTTCATTTTTTGCAAAAGTCGAGAGTGCGAGTGAAACGAGATTACTACAACAAATGGAAACATATCCACATTACAGAAAAATTCTATTAGGCACTGAAGTATTGCGAGAAGATGACTATGTTCGTTTGACACGTGCTTCATATAATTCTAGTGACAAATTACCAATTTTTAAAATAAATACAATTTTTTTAAATGCTCTAAATAAAATTCAACTAAGCGGTGAGATGTTTATCAGAGGTCCACCGAAGAATGGCGAGAATGTGCCAACTTTAATTCGAATGAATAAAGAAAAATTCGAATATACTTTGGATTTATCCGAAATTGCTGGGCGGTACTACAAACTGCACCCAGGCATCACCCGTAGCATGTCTGTTACTATTCCATTGCCATATCCTGATCGGAAATCGTTAGTTGACGAAGCTTTAAAGCAGGATGTATGTGAGACTAGTCCAAGGAAACAAATGGCCAAACGATCAATGGCATTACCGCCATTACCATCTTCAAGCAACAAAAAGTTCAAGGCCAATGATGATGCTAAATTTAAAGTTCCTTTAGGAGTTTTTGAATTAGATGATGATGCCAAATTTAAAGTTCCTTTAGGA